CAACAGTGTAAAAGTGTTCCTATTTCTCCACATCCTCTCCAGCATCTGTTGTTTCCCGATTTTTTAATGATCGCCATTCTAACTGGTGTGAGATGGTATCTCAATGTGGTTTTGATTTGCATTTCTCTGATGACCAGTGATGATGAGCATTTTTTCATATGTTTGTTGGCCTCCTGTATGTCTTCTTTTGTAAAGTATCTGTTCATATCCTTTGCCCATTTTTGAATGGGCTTGTTTGTTTTTTTCTTGTAGATCTGCTTTAGTTCTTTGTAAATTCTGGATATCAGCCCCTTGTCAGATGGGTAGACTGCAAAAATTTTTTCCCATTCTGTTGGTTGCCGATTCACTCTACTGACTGTTTCTTTTGCCGTGCAGAAGCTGTGGAGTTTGATTAGGTCCCATTTGTCTATTTTGGCTTTTGTTGCCATTGCTTTTGGCGTTTTGGTCATGAAGTCCTTGCCTACACCTATGTCCTGAATGGTTTTGCCTAGATTTTCTTCTAAGGTTTTTATGGTATTAGGTCTGATGTTTAAGTCTTTAATCCATCTGGAGTTAATTTTGGTGTAAGGTGTCAGGAAGGGGTCCTGTTTCTGCTTTCTGCACATGGCTAGCCAGTTTTCCCAACACCATTTATTAAACAGGGAGTCCTTTCCCCATTGCTTGTTTTTGTCAGGTTTGTCGAAGATCAGATGGTTGTGGGTATGTTGTATTTCCCGTGAGGCCTCTGTTCTGTTCCATTGGTCTATATCTCTGTTTTGGTACCAGTACCATGCTGTTTTGATTACTGTAGCCTTGTAGTATAGTTTGAAGTCCGGTAGTGTGATGCCTCCCGCTTTGTTCTTTTTGCTTAGAATTGACTTGGCTATGCGGGCTCTCTTTTGGTTCCATATGAAGTTTAAGGTGTTTTTTTCCAGTTCTGTGAAGAAGGTCATTGGTAGCTTGATGGGAATAGCATTGAATCTGTAAATTACTTTGGGCAGTATGGCCATTTTCACGATGTTGATTCTTCCTAACCATGAACATGGAATGTTTCTCCATCTGTTTGTATCCTCTCTTATTTCGTTGAGCAATGGCTTGTAGTTCTCCTTGAAGAGGTCCTTTACGTTCCTTGTTAGTTGTATTCCTAGGTACTTTATTCTCTTTGTAGCAATTGTGAATGGCAGTTCGTTCTTGATTTGGCTCTCTTGAAGTCTATTACTGGTGTATAGGAATGCTTGTGATTTTTGCACGTTGATTTTGTATCCTGAGACTTTGCTGAAGTTGTTTATCAGTTTCAGGAGATTTTGGGCTGAGATGATGGGGTCTTCCAGATATACAATCATGTCATCTGCAAATAGAGACAATTTGATTTCCTCCTTTCCAATTTGGATACCCTTTATTTCTTTTTCTTGCCTGATTGCTCTGGCTAGAACTTCCAGTACTATATTGAATAGGAGTGGTGAGAGAGGGCATCCTTGTCTAGTGCCAGATTTCAAAGGGAATGCTTCCAGTTTTTGCCCATTCAGTATGATATTGGCTGTTGGTTTGTCGTAAATAGCTTTTATTGTTTTGAGATACGTTCCGTCAATACCTAGTTTATTGAGGGTTTTTAGCATAAAGGGTTGTTGAATTTTGTCAAAAGCCTTCTCTGCATCAATCGAGATAATCATGTGGTTTTTGTCTTTGGTTCTGTTTATGTGGTGAATTACGTTTATGGACTTGCGTATGTTGAACCAGCCTTGCATCCCCGGGATGAATCCTACTTGATCATGGTGGATGAGCTTTTTGATATGCTGTTGCAATCGGTTTGCCAGTATTTTATTGAAGATTTTTGCATCTATGTTCATCATGGATATTGGCCTGAAATTTTCTTTTCTTGTTGAGTCTCTGCCGGGTTTTGGTATCAGGATGATGTTTGTCTCGTAAAATGATTTGGGAAGGATTCCCTCTTTTTGGATTGTCTGGAATAGTTTCAGAAGGAATGGTATCAGCTCTTCTTTGTATGTCTGGTAGAATTCAGCTGTGAACCCATCTGGACCTGGGCTTTCTTTGGGTGGTAGGCTCTTTATTGCTGCCTCGACTTCAGACCATGTTATTGGTCTATTCAGGGTTTCGGCTTCTTCCAGGTTTAGGCTTGGGAGGTTGCAGGTGTCCAGGAATTTATCCATTTCTTCCAGGTTTACTAGTTTATGTGCATAGAGTTGTTTGTAATAATCTCTGATGATGGTTTGGATTTCTGTGGAATCTGTGGTGATATCCCCTTTATCGTTTTTTATTGCATCAATTTGGTTATTCTCTCTTTTCTTTTTTATTAATCTGGCTAGTGGTCTGTCTATTTTGTTGATCTTTTCAAAAAACCAGCTCCTGGATTTATTGATTTTTTGAAGAGTTTTTTGTGTCTCTATTTCCTTCAGTTCTGCTCTGATCTTAGTTATTTCCTGTCTTCTGCTAGGTTTTGAGTTTTTTTGATCTTGCTCCTCTAGCTCTTTCAATTTTGATGATAGGGTGTCAATTTTAGATCTCTCCTTTCTTCTCATGTGGGCACTCATTGCTATATATTTTCCTCTAGAGACTGCTTTAAATGTGTCCCAGAGATTCTGGTATGTTGTGTCTTCGTTCTCATTGGTTTCGAAGAACATCTTTATTTCTGCCTTCATTTCATTGTTTATCCAGTCAACATTCAAGAGCAAGTTGTTCAGTTTCCATGAAGCTGTGCGGTTCTGAGTTAGTTTCTGCATTCTGAGTTCTAACTCGATTGCACTGTGGTCTGAGAGACTGTTTGTTATGATTTCTGTTCTTTTGCATTTGCTGAGGAGTGATTTATTGCCAATTATGTGGTCAATTTTAGAGTAGGTGTGATGTGGTGCTGAGAAGAATGTATATTCTGTGGATTTGGGGTGGAGAGTTCTGTAAATGTCTATTAGGTTTGCTCGTTCCAGGTCTGTGTTCAGGTCCTGGATATCCTTGTTGATTTTCTGTCTGGTTGATCTGTCTAATATTGACAATGGGGTGTTAAAGTCTCCCACTATTATTGTGTGGGAGTCTAAGTCTCTTTGTAAGTCATTAAGAACTTGCCTTATGTATCTGGGTGCTCCTGTATTGGGTGCATATATATTTAGGATCGTTAGCTCTTCTTGTTGCAGTGATCCTTTTACCATTATGTAATGTCCTTCTTTGTCTCTTTTGATCTTTGTTGCTTTAAAGTCTATTTTATCGGAGATGAGAATTGCAACTCCTGCCTTTTTTTGCTCTCCATTTGCTTGGTAGATCTTCCTCCATCCCTTTATTTTGAGCCTTTGTGTATCCTTGCATGTAAGATGGGTTTCCTGGATACAGCACACTGATGGGTTTTGGCTTTTTATCCAATTTGCCAGTCTGTGTCTTTTGATTGGGGCATTTAGTCCATTGACATTTAGGGATAGTATTGTTATGTGTGAATTTGATGCTGTCATTTTGATGCTACCTGGCTGTTTTGTTGGTTAGTTGATGCAGATTCTTGATTGTGTTGCTGCTTTTTTACCATTTGGTGTGTTTTTGGAGTGGCTGGTACTGGTTGTTCCTTTATATGTGTAGAGCCTCTTTCAGGAGTTCTTGTAGAGCAGGTTTGGTGGTGATGAAATCTCTGAGTGCTTGCTTGTTCACAAAGGATTTTATTTTTCCTTCACTTATGAAGCTGAGTTTGGCTGGATAGGAGATTCTGGGTTGAAAGTTCTTTTCTTTAAGGATGTTGAATATTGGCCCCCAGTCTCTTCTGGCTTGTAGGGTTTCTGCTGAGAGATCTGCTGTGAGTCTAATGGGCTTCCCTTTGTGGGTAACCCGACCTTTCTCTCTGGCTGCCCTTAGCATTTTCTCTTTCATTTCAACCCTGGTGAATCTGACGATTATGTGCCTTGGGGTTGCTCTTCTTGAGGAATATCTCTGTGGTGTTCTCTGTATTTCCTGGATTTGAATATTGGTCTGCCTTGCTAGGTTGGGGAAGTTTTCCTGGATAATATCCTGAAGAGTATTTTCCAGCTTGGATTCATTCTCTTCATCACATTCGGGTACACCTATCAGACGTAGATTAGGTCTTTTCACATAGTCCCACATTTCTTGAAGATTTTGTTCATTCCTTTTTGCGCTTTTTTCTCTGTTCTTGCCTTCTCTTTTTATTTCATTGAGTTGGTCTTCGACCTCTGATATCCTTTCTTCTGCTTGGTCAATTCGGCTGTTGAAGCTTGTGCATGCTTCACGAAGTTCTCGTGTTGCGTTTTTCAGCTCCATCAATTCACTTATTCTCCTCTCTATGCTGTCCATTCTCGTCAGCAGTTCGTCCAATCTTTTTTCAAGGTTCCTATTTTCTTTGCGATGGGTTAGAACATGTTCTTTTAGCTCATTGTAGTTTCTTACTACCCATCTTCTGAAGTCTGATTCTGTCATTTCATCACCCTCCTTCTCCATCCGGTCTGGTTCCCTTGCTGGTGAGGAGTTGAGATCACTTTTAGGAGGAGAGGTGTTCTGGTTTCGGGAGTTTTCATCCTTTTTACGCTGGTTTCTACCCATTTTTGTGGGTTTATCCACCTGTTGTCTGTCTCTGTCCCAGGGAGTTGGAGCTTTATGAGTTTCCGTTGCACTACTGCCTTTTTTGATTTTTTTTTTTTTCAGGTCGGACCCGCCCAGCTGCCCTGAGCTCTTCCCTGTAGTCCTTTTTATATGGGCGTAGTTAGAACTGTCTGGGCAATGGTGGCCCCGCCTCTGTTATGGCGGATTCTCTCTGTTGTGGCAGGTTGCCTCGGCAACGGCGGGTTGCCTCGGCAACGGCTGCCTGCCTCCGTAGAGGTGGAGAGTCTCAGTAATGGCGGAAGCCCCTCCCCCACGGAGCCGGACCGTCCCGGTTCAGCTGTGCTTGGTTTGAAGGGCTCAACCCAGAGGGTTTCCAATTACTGTTTTTGTTTTGGTTGTTGTTGGGGGTGGAGGGGTGGGACCGACTGAGCCTGATCACCTGGCTCCCTGACTCAGAGTCTTTTCTTTTAAGTTGAAAGACCCCGCGTTCCGGTCGCTTGTTGAAAAGGCGCCGGGATCTCCCGTACTGCGACTCACGGAGTCGGCTCGAACCGCGGCGCCAGCTCCTGGCGGATTTTTTGCCTAGGAATCTCCTGGCCTGGCTCGCTATTTCAGATGAATGGGCTATTCTGCCGTCTCAAGGCTCTACTCGCCAGCTAAGAGGGCTCCCAGACCAGTGGCTTTTGTACGGAGAACCGCAGCAACAGGGAGTGGTCACAGCAGCCGCGCGGGCGGAATCAGCCCCGCGGTGGCCAAAACAGCCGCACCGGCTGGGACTGCGACGCTGGCGACCCCTCTGCCTGGGTATCTCCTGGTCTGTGGGCAATAAGAGTTCATCTGGAAATGCGGCGTCCACTCACCCTCTGCACTTTCACTGGGAGCTGAAGTCCTGAGCTGTTCTTAGGCGGCCATCTTGAAAGTCCTCCTGAATTTTTCTTTTGATTGTTGGAATTTTTGTTGGCAATCATGAAATAAGCAAATAATGAAAGTTTTGGCTCTTTCCTTCTGGTATTGATATCTCTCTTTTTTTTCCTTGCCTCATTCTCATTGGTTTAGAAATTTAATGGGAATGTTTTCAGTTTCATCAGAAAGTATGTCCTTAATTAGATCTATGTCAGATTTTCTGCAGCAGGTCAAGCAACCTTTGTTCTATTCCTATTTTACTGAGAGTTTTATTTTTTTACAATATTGTTAAGATGATAGTAGTAAAGCTACTATACTATATATGATCTACATACATTTATTTTTAAAAATTTACTCAGATGTTTTGTGACCTATTATGTATTTTTTCTTTTTTTAAAAAAATCTTTAGAACCTGTGGAACCTATTATATTTTTAATATGTATATTTGCTTCTTGCATGCTTAAAATGTAAATTATGTTTAATTTCTATATTAAGCTGTGATAATGGAATCATTTAAACCTTTTAATTCCTTTTTTTTGATAATTTATGTCAGTTTTGTCAAAATTTCCTTGATTATGATGATTGTACATTATTCATTTCTTCTTACATTCTCACTGTTTTGCTTTTATTTTTATACTTCCATGTTGAGTTGTTAGGTGCATAAAGATCATGATGATTATAACTTATTGATGGGTTTAATCAGCAAAGCATGTTCCACTTTTGTTTTGATTAAAAGTATCATTCCTAATTTTTTTCTGTTACCATTTACATGTTATATTTTTTTCTGTCTCTTTAATCCAAATTTTCAGATGTGTTTCCTATAAGTAGCATGTCATTAGGTATTTTGCCTACTCAATCTAATAATGTATCTTTTATAAAATTAACCTATTGACTGTTGTGATTGTATATATTTGGTACTTTATCTTTGTTATGTTTTCTTTCTTATTTCCTATCTTCAGCTCCATTTGTTGAGTTTCCCTTAATCCCCCACCCCTTTTTTTCTTTCTAGGAGTCTGGAAGCCACTTATCCCATTCTTCTCTTGTTTGCTCCTTACCGTTGAATTTTAGAAAATACATTATTTAAACTCATGCTTTCCTATAATGTGAATAATTGTTGTTGATAACCTCCATCCAAAACTAGACGAGATCCTTAATATATTTACATTAACTCTAACTCCTCCCAGCCTCCCATGTTTTGTGGATATCATCTGGAACTTCATTTACAGATTAAAAAAAATTGTTTCATAATGTGGCCCAATTATTTTATGTGAGTTTTACCTTAATAATTGCCATGATTCTTATGGTAACTTCATAAAAAACATTTTTCCATCAGTTTCACTTTTTTCTTTGCTTACCACTATCTCTTTTATTCTATGTGTTCTTCTTGACTGTATATATTTTTTATTTTCAGTATCTCCAAGAAGTACTTTCAGGAAACATTAATAGTAGTAGTTTCTGAGTCCCTTAATATTGTCTTCATATGTCAATGATAGTATGGTTAAGCACAGAAATTTAGGTTAAAAATAATATTTCTTTAGAACTGTAAGGAAGTTATTCCATTGTACTTACTGCCTAGGAGTTCAAATGAGAAGTTTAAAGCAATCTGAGTATTTTCTTTAAAGCTTTTTTGTTTTTGTTTTTCTCTTTAGACATTCTTAGTGATTTTCTTTTTCTTGGAGATCAGAAATTTCTCTTGATAAATTTAGGTATGGTGTCTATACCACCCCACTCTGCCTCACACATATATGCAAACATTTTACTGGTTTTCCCTAAAAAGGACAATAACATCATTTTAAAAATATAAATCTGAGGACATTTGAGGGGCCAACAAAATACAAAAAAAAAAGAGATAAAAATTAAATGTTTAAATTTAAAAAAAGGCACTACAATGTCACCTAACATCTAACTACCATGGTGGTAATAGACTAAGGAAGATTAAGTTACAACAAAAATAACTAATGTAAATATCAGAGGTTAGGTAGCAAAAAGTGGATTTGCTTTCCAGAAGACTATGGTATCACTGACCATTTGGGCCCAGTAGGATATTTAGCAAGGAAAAGGTCAAGATGGGTGGAGGTAAAGCTAAATCCAAAGGAATAGGTATAACTGAGAATTCAAGATAAACAGTCTCCAAATAGATGGTGACAAATCCATTTTCCTCCTCTCAAGAAGCATTTGCTCTACTTTGTTGCCTCCTCTCAAGATCCCAGTGGCTGCTCAAACTGAAAGTTGCCTATTCCTACCTTTCAGGGGATTCAGCAACCAGATCTAATTTTGTGATTGCTCAGGGCTCTTGCTGCAATTGAGCATAGAACTTGGAGAATCTGAAACAGAGTTGGGGTTGGGGGTAGGGAGTAGATTGGGTGGCTTTGTTGCTAGTTGTTCTGAAAAAAGAAAACTCTGAAGCATTCACATGTAAGCCTTCTAATCACTTTCAAACCCCCTCTACAAAACACCCTCAAAAGTCTGAAATCTTGCAACAGAAGGGCTACAGTTAAAGCTGCTGGGCTCACAAAATCATCAAAGAAGCCAGATGAGACAACCCAGTCACGAAATCCTAGCTATTATTCTTTTTTTTTTTTTTTTTTTTTTTTTTTTTGAGACGGAGTTTCGCTCTCGTTACCCAGGCTGGAGTGCAATGGCGCGATCTCGGCTCACCGCAACCTCCGCCTCCTGGGCTCAGGCAATTCTCCTGCCTCAGCCTCCTAAATAGCTGGGATTACAGGCACACACCACCATGCCCAGCTAACTTTTTTGTATTTTTAGTAGAGACGGGGTTTCACCTTGTTGACCAGGATGGTCTCGATCTCTCGACCTCGTGATCCACCCGCCTCGGCCTCCCAAAGTGCTGGGATTACAGGCTTGAGCCACCGCGCCCGGCCCCTAGCTATTATTCTTAACCTGTTTTCCCCTAATTTAAGGTAAACTCATATACCTGATGTGGGATATAGAAAGTTATACTGAAGCAACCTGGATCTTCTGCGGAACTTCTCATCAAACACTAAAAAAAAATAAAGGCAAGGTTTATTTTTCTTAATCTTACTGTATTTTAAAATAGCATAACCCAGAAGTAATTCTGTTATAAAGGAACATGGCTGAAGAGGTAGGAAACAGATTCCCCATTATGAGTTCTCCTTATGGCTTCTGCGAGGATCATAGAGATGTCAATTACTCGTATTTTGGAGCAATGCTTCATGTTATCCTCTTGAGGTATGGTATTGGTAACTACCACTGCTTCAAAGCATGCAGTATTGATTCGAGAAATGGCTGGGCCAGAAAAGATTCCATGAGTCAAAATAGCATAAACTCTGGTGGCTCCAGCTGAGAGAAGTTTGTCAGCTGCGAGGCAGATTGTACCACAGGTATCTGCCATGTCATCTACAAGGATAGCCGCACGATCATTCACATCTCCCACTAACACCATGCCGTCCACTTCATTGGCCTTCTTCCGTTCTTTATGAATCAAGGCAAAGTCCACGTTCAACTGGTCTGCAATCGAGGTTACTCTCTTAGCTCCGCCGGCATCTGGAGAGACAATAGTGCAGTTCTTCCACTCAGAGATATTCTCCATTATCCACTTCAGGACAGTTGGCTCTGCATACAAGTTGTCTACTGGGATATCAAAAAAGCCCTGAATTTGAGAAGCATGTAGGTCCATGGTGATTATATGATCTGCACCTGCTATAGACAGCATATTTGCAACAAGCTTGGCAGAGATTGGGGCCCGGCTCTTATCCTTCTTATCCTGTCGGGCATAAGGGAAGCATGGGATGACTGCAGTAACTCGGCTAGCTGAAGCTATCTTGCAGGCATTAATCATGATCAAAAGCTCCATTAGACTGTCGTTGATTTCGCCACAACCACTCTGAACGATGTAGACATCCTCTCCACGTACACTTTCGCCAATTTCCACACAGGTCTCCTGGTTGCTGAATTTCTTAGTCACCACCTTGCCTAGCTCCAGGCCTAGGCGGTCGGCTATTTTCTGGGATAAGTCCAGGTGGGAGCGGCCACTGAAGATTTTGATATTTGGCATCTTGGCCAACTACCAGACGCACTCGGTCCAGTGACCCAGCTGCCGCTGAGACTGGAACGGAAGTGAACCACAGATTCTAACAGCTTCAGTTGTTACTCAGCCGTTAGGGTCCCTTCTGCCTCACAGTGCGCAGTCCCAAATTGACCTTTGGTCTTTTGAAAAAAATTGTACCTCCCACTTCACACTTTTAATAAACTAAATAATCAAGTATGTACAGTGTATGGATTTTTTTTTTTTTTTTTAAGACGGAGTACCACTCTTGTTACTCAGGCTGGAGTGCAATGGTGCAATCTCAGCTCACCGCAACCTCCACCTCCTGGGTTCAGGCAATTCTCCTGCCTCAGCCTCCTGAGTAGCTGGGATTACAGGCACGGACTACCATGCCCAGCTAATTTTTTTGTATTTTTAGTAGAGATGGGGTTTCACCATGTTGACCAGGATGGTCTCGATCTCTTGACCTTGTGATCCACGCGACTCGGCCTCCCAAAGTGCTGGGATTATAGGCATGAGCCACCGCGCCCGGCCGGAATTTTTTTTCTATTAGCATCTGTATTAGTTTCCAAGGGCCATTTAAACAAATTTGAACACAGAAAAATATAAAACTTATACAAAGCAAAACCCAACTTTATTTATTTATTTATTTGAGACGGAGTTTCACTCTTGTTACCCAGGCTGGAGTGCAATGGCACAATCTCGGCTCACCTCAACCTCCGCCTCCTGGTTCAGGCAATTCTCCTGCCTCAGCCTCCTGAGTAGTTGGGATTACAGGCACGTGCCACCATGCCCAGCTAATTTTTTGTATTTTTTAGTAGAGACGGGGCAAAACCCAACTTTAAAAGGAAAATTACCTACTAGAGAAAGTATATGCAAGGGATTATTTTAGAAAGAATCTCCCCAATGAAGTGAGAAAAATACAACAAAATAAAAAGTTGAAAAATAGCATAAATAGGCAATCACAGTAAAAAAAAAAATGTATGAGAAACGTGAAACAATGAAAGTAATCAAGACGATGCTATTTTCACACATCAGGTCGCCAAAATGTTAAGATAGATAAGGTCTTCTATTCGGATGGAATATATAAATGTGCAGATTTTGCTTGGGTAATTTTGCACATAACATTTGACTCATTATGTATACTTCTAGGAATCTATTTCAGTGAAATTTCCACAACCACCCCAAAAATACACAGCCACATAGTGGTGTTGCTGTATTCATTGATTCAATAAATATTTTGTGAACACCTCCAATATGTCAGGAATTAAACTACTTTTAGAGTATAAAAATGGTGCATGACAAATATTAATTGCCCTAGAATTGTTTATAAAAGCAAAATCTGAAAACCAACAAATGCTCATCACTAGGTAAATTACCAAATAATTTATTATATATACATATGCAGTCATTCAAGAGTTTAAGTGGAATCATATGAAAATGTCTCCTAGGCATTTTTTTAAAGGTGAAAAGCAAAGCACAAAAATATGCATAGTATTACATTTATTTATTTAAGATTACTTGATACTGAAAGCATTCGATTAGCATGGAAGTCCTCTTTATAATAATCACTTCTGGAGAGGGAAGTAGGTTGTGAGAGTTGAGAATGAAGGAAGACTGTTATATTTTACTGCTCTCTGTGTGGCATTTGGACATTTATTACTTTTATAATTAAAAAGATGAACAAAATATATTTGGTAATTAAATGTTTGTTAGCAAATTTTAAGTACACAGCTTCCATGGTGTACTGGGGCTTGAAATAGAGAGAAAGGAAGTAGAAAGGACCGTAGATACCAATAATTTCATAAAAATAATGGAAGCATCAGATACAAGTCAACCATGTGTATCCTGCTAATTGCGTGCCTGACATTTGGATACCAGGATGTTTCCATTTAGGCTAAAACCAAATCCTCATTTTTTTCATCTTGTAAAATAACCAAATAATTTAATAGGTTTTCTCACCACACTTCCAAGGTTCCTTAATGTGTTGGGTTCATGAATAGGATAAAGTCAGAAGTGGGATAAGAAATGGCA